ATAGAGATACTCAATAAATGAGTTTGTTTAGAATTAAGGTCACATAATTTCTTTAATCCGGCACCGTTTACATAATTAGTGTAAATGTTTTGATATGAATCAATTTAAGTTCAAGTGCATTTATGCAATCAGATATGAAGCAACATTCATAGCATGAGATCAATCGGACTATGAATTCTGAATTAGAAATACTTGATGTCCGGTTAAAAAAATGTCTTACAATGCCCTGGAAATACATGGGATCAGCACCATGTTTTCAGGGATCAAGGGGAGTGTTTCAGCGATGACGCGGATTCTGTCTGGAATGATTAACACGTAAATATCACATCAATCAACTATTAATTAACTTAGCGTCAAATCTGACGAGATTTTATAGTTTCAGTCAATCTCATATCCTCTCACTATACAAACATGTAGCTCCAGACCATTCATTAAATATGCAGAATTGTCATAATCTTGTAAATATCCAGAGTCCAGTCCGAGAGTACAGAGGGGGGGATGAACAATCCACATTAAACTAAGCACAAACATCTCACATCTCAAATCACCTGCGACAGTAAATAAGATCAGAAAAGCATGACAAAACTTGAACTTAACATGGAACAGACCTATAGTCACGTTGCGATTGGTCAGAAACGGGGGCCACGTTCACACCGCGGATCCCATGTCACTCATCGATTGGGTCCATTTACACGAGTGACTAACGAATTCAACTCCTGAACATTTAATGCGGTGCCAGCAGCATTTGTATTAAATCTGATACAGTGAAATGAAACACTTAACTGTTTTGGACACCGACGGCTCATCTGACCCAGATAGCACACGTACGTCTGCAAGATGTCTGTTAAAGATCACTTGATCTGCAAAGCATCTGCTGTTTACAGACGTCTGTAAGATGTCAGGTTTACATACATTCTAAATCATAAACATCTTAAAGACTTCTAATAGATGTCTATTTGACATCTGATAGAAAACATCCTATAGACGTATTGCAGATGAGCAAACACTCTAACAAATATGTCTTGTAGATGTCAAATAGACGTCTCTGTGAGGTATGTGTGCTATCAGGGGAGGTGCTAGAAAACTAGAAACAAATGTGTGTCTTCAGTAGGCTATTTCACCAAACAGGGCCGTAACCACTGCAGATCTGATTAAGAATCAGATATGGCCAAATGTATTGCTCTGTTTATGACACGTTTTATTTATTTATTTTTTTCTGCCTATAAAGGCGCTCATCAGTGTGAAATAATTGAGATAGCCTGTCAATTAAAATAAGGCAGGGTTTACTGTTCAAAGAAGCCGAGCAAAACTCTATTTTCTAACAAAATCAAATTTATATCAAGCACATCAAGGTCAGCTCAGTAGCGTTTGGGTCCTACGGCGCCAAGGGTTGCTACTACAGTTAACTGTTGCTGCAGTCAGACATGCAGTCATGTGCGCAGATAGTTGACAGGTCTTTAAAAAGTCTTAAATTTAGTTGTATCAAGGCCATAAAACATCTTAAATGGTACAATAAAGTCTTGATTCTGATTTAAGGAGGTCTTGGGGACGGTAAGACAAGAATTGCAATACGGCTTAATGTGATGATTAAATATCAAAAGGCTGTGATTTAATTGAATATGAATGCTGCATGTTTCAAAGTCTCCTGCTGGGCTGCTTTTTGTGCTTCCGTTACCGGGGAAACCGCTATATTTCTACCATTCCAAAAGCACCACCTGCTGGCAGAGAATCAATTAGCATTTTTAATAAGCCCATGTTTTTATGCAGCAAAGAGTTGTAAATGTGAACTAGTGGATCGACCAGAAGATAATGCATTATAAAACTTTCAACAATTAAGACAGTAATATATATATATATATATGTTATTTAATTAATATAATAAATTATTGATAATAGTTGTTTAAATGAATATAATTTATACTTTTGCTTTAAAAAAATCTATTTTCTTAAAAAAATGTAAAGGCTGAAAAGTTAATCATTTAAAAAAAAAAACCTATATCTGAACTCTAAATCATGCTTTTTACTGTCACTTTAAAGGGGTCCTAGTGCGCTGATAGTTGACAGGTCTTTAAAAAGTCTTAAATTTAGTTGTATCAAGGCCATAAAACATCTTAAATGGTACAATAAAGTCTTGATTCTGATTTAAGGAGGTCTTGGGGACGGTAAGACAAGAATTGCAATACGGCTTAATGTGATGATTAAATATCAAAAGGCTGTGATTTAATTGAATATGAATGCTGCATGTTTCAAAGTCTCCTGCTGGACTGCTTTTTGTGCTTCCGTTACCGGGGAAACCGCTATATTTCTACCATTCCAAAAGCACCACCTGCTGGCAGAGAATGAATTAGCATTTTTAATAAGCCCATGTTTTTATGCAGCAAACAGTTGTAAATGTGAACTAGTGGATCGACCAGACGATAATGCATTATAAAACTTTCAACAATTAAGACAGTAATATATATATATATATGTTATTTAATTAATATAATAAATTATTGATACTAGTTGTTTAAATTAATATAATTTATACTTTTGCCTTAAAAAAATCTATTTTCTTAAAAAAATTTAAAGGCTGAAAAGTTAATCATTTAAAAAAAAAAACCTATATCTGAACTCTAAATCATGCTTTTTACTGTCACTTTAAAGGGGTCCTAGTATGCTCTTTTACAGAGAACCTTTGCACGCACGGATATTGCAAGACATATTAGAGTGGTAACGTTATTGTTGTTTTTTTGTTTATTTTGGCTAAATCACATTTTAGATAGGATGTCAACAACCGCTTAAAAATAACTGCATTTACTATGTACAGATAAGCGCATATGTATTATTTTTATTTTTATTTAATTCTAACATTATAACATGAATTGCAGTGAAACTGTTATACAGTTGAATTTATTTATACCATAGTCCAGTGTTTCCCAGGCGGCATATATATGCAAACTCATTCTCTGCCAGCAGGAGGCGCTGTTGGAGGGGAAGAGATCGAGGTTTCCCCGGTAAGGGCTGATCCAGTAGGTTTTTTAGGGTTAATCTGTCATTTAGTGTGTTCCTCCAAAACCCGTCCAGCGGTTTTAAAACCGCAGCTCAGCAGTGAAACAGAGAGTTTAACGAGTTTACAAGCCCTGAGGCTCATTCTCACAGTAATGACCCTTTTTGTGTGTGAGACGGTCTGTCTTCAGCAGGGCCGGATTATCCAATGGGCACAGGCCCAGGGGCCCATGCGCACTTGGGGCCCAAGCGAGGGGAAGAAAAAAAATTCGGAGTGTCTTTACATTAAGTGCAAATAGCGCGCTTGTTGGCAAACGCTATTTACAGTAGCTCTGCCCACCAATGTCTGGTTGACACTTAATATTAAAAAAGACGCATTGCATTTAATGGCTTCATTGGTGTGGGCAGTAGGGCGTCAGACTCACAGAAATACTTTTTGACGCGATCGACCCGGGTTCGAGTCCGCCACTATATGGGCCTCATTCATGAAACACGAGCAGAAGAATTTTTTTGTGTAAATCATTCATAAAGCCGTTCTGACAAACTTTCGAACCCATGAAAATGAAAACGTCACTGTCACAAGCCATCCAATCAATAGGACAAATGCTACACCGACCAACCATCCTACTTATACAACGACTGAGCAACAATGGAGAAGATAATATTACTGGTTACTGCATTTTTATATTCAGTTATATTCTTCGAAATGAGATACTAGTAATATGTTACTGCCGTGAATATTCCACATCATAGCAACCAAATCTTCAGCTGGAAAAACGCTGTGCCACCAAAGAGTTCTCAAGCGCCACCAGCTAGCCGTTTTCAGAAGAGCACCTGGCTAAAAATGCTTTGATAGACACGTTCATTTGAATATTTATTGTTAGGCATATGGCTCTTTTTTTATTTTTTTTATTTTTGCATTTATGAAATATACTGGAGCCAAACCTGAGAAGGGAGTCCAGAATATTCCACTGTGTTCCTGGACACGTAATTTACGTAGCTGTGTATTTCATAGGCGGGGATTATGTTCAGGCAGCGGTTGTTTGCACTAAGTGCAAATAGCAGCATTTTTCAGTGATATGCTATTTACACTAAGTGCAAATAGCTTTAGATTCTATTTACAATATGTTAAAATAGCAAGATTTTCTGCTATTTATACTACTTATTGCAAATAGTGGCAATTATCTGAACCTCAGTATTGTAGTACACTATAACAGTATGCAATAACTTATTGCGTGTAAATTTTTATTTTAATTTAAAATTATTAAATGGATGCCACCTTATTGGGACAATAAATCCCTCCTTACACCTACCCTAACCATACCAGATACTTTATTTTTAACTTTTTGATTATTTCCTTAATTTTCATAGAAAATAAATGCTTTTCTGATGTGATTTGTAATTTGAAAAGGGAGAAAAAAGTTCGCCAAAAGGCAGATTCGAACCCGGGTTGATCGCGTCAAAATGAGTACAACACACGTTTTACCCTCTGCGCTAATAAAGCTGACGATTGTCTACTGTCTTTCGTAATGTTGACCAGCCGAATCACACGTTGGTGGGCGGAGTTAGTGTAAATAGCCTCTGCCAACAAGGCGGGCTATTTGCACTTAGTGAAATAGACACTCCGCTATGTCATCAAATCTGATGTTTATGAAGCGTTTGTGAATCTGGAGGAGAGTTTTCGGGAAGGTCTGTTTTACGGGCAGATTACTTTGAATTTACTCACATATTTACGCAACTTTCATGAGTCCCTATGTTATTATTCTGTTTAATAAACAAAAATACTGAGGTGCAAATTGTATCTGCCAATATAAAGTACAGATAGCATAATTACTATTTTCACATATTGCAAAGATTGCTGCTGGTCCAGGAAAGCATTGTTGCAATCATGTGATGTAAATCCTGTATGATAGAGGATGCGATCATAGGCTGTAACCTGTGAGTGTAATCCTGTATAAGCTAGAGGTGTTTCCAACAATTAGTACCCTATAATTTAAAACCTTGAATGTGTGTGCGCACGCGTGTGTGTGTGTGGATGTGGGGGGCCCGACAAGACATTGTGCCCAGGGGTCTCTGAATCCCTAACCCGGGCCTGGTCTTCAGAGACGTGAACTCCGTGACTGTTTGTCCTCAGAGAGATTGAGAAACTCTGCAGGACCGAAATCAGTCGTTAAAAATGAATTATCGTCCCACACACACCCTCAACTCACACAGACACTCATTAGTGTCGCTCCACTGGACTTGCAGCAACATTCCAGCACTGACTCAACAGTTGCTCGAGCAACAGCCAATAAGAGGGCTTGATCACCTCACACCCCTAGCCCCTCCCCCTCTGACTGTCCATCACACAGATAAAGGTGTGAGAAACTGAGCTGAACTGCTGAAAATGGAGTCCAGACGTCAAAGCTAACGCACGACCGTGTGTGTGTGTGGATGTGGGGGGCCCGACAAGACATTGTGCCCAGGGGTCTCTGAATCCCTAACCCGGGCCTGGTCTTCAGAGACGTGAACTCCGTGACTGTTTGTCCTCAGAGAGATTGAAAAACTCTGCAGGACCGAAATCAGTCGTTAAAAATGAATTATCGTCCCACACACACCCTCAACTCACACAGACACTCATTAGTGTCGCTCCACTGGACTTGCAGCAACATTCCAGCACTGACTCAACAGTTGCTCAAGCAATAGCCAATAAGAGGGCTTGATCACCTCACACCCCTGGCCCCTCCCCCTCTGACTGTCCATCACACAGATAAAGAAAAACATAAGGCCGGTGTGTGAGAAACTGAGCTGAACTGCTGAAAATGGAGTCCAGACGTCAAAGCTAACGCACGACCGTGTGTGTGTGTGTGCACAGCAAACGCAAACAGGTTGTCGAGTAAACACTCGTTTTCTCTCACGGGTCATTGGTCTGTCAACACACACGAGTGCATCCGTTAGCGCTCGCTTATCATCTTTAACATAGATAGCATGCGTGCGTGTGTGTCTTTTGTGCTGTGCAGGTACAAACAGCTCTGTTTCAGCACGGCTCATTTGCTTCAGATCATCAGAGAGCTGGTGATGTCATTTCCTGCTCACCTCTGGTGAACCGCAGGCCTTTTCCAGCAAACTCCTTCTGCAGAGCCGCCACAAACTTCTCTCGTATCTTCTCTCTCTGCGGGACAGGAGAATTTGGATTGAAGTTTTGGGTTGTTTTTAATGTGTGTTTAGGTTCATTAGTGCTTTAAATGAAAACAATCCATTCGTATGGACCTGTTCACACAGGAACACAGATCGTCTAATGACAACTGTCCAACTTGCTTTACTAAATAGACCTTAAATAGACCTTTCATTGGCAATTTGTTTGATTTTCTGTTTCATTGCTTGATATAAACAGACCATTTAATGAAACCCGTTTTGGTTTTTTTGTGAACAAATCCTCAACTTTTAGCCAATGGACCCTTTTCACAAGACTGTGATGATTCATTTAATGGTCGTCAGCATCGTAAATCCTTGAAAGTTTTTTATATTTTGAGTTTTTGAAAAAATGTATGTACATTTATAACACTATACTTTGTATTATATCTCCTTTGCATCAAATTAAGTGCCCCTATTATGGGTAATGAAAGGTTCATATTTTGGTTTTGGGAGTCCCCAACAACAGGTTGACATGCATGCAAGGTCAAAAAAATCACTTTCATTGTCTTATAATATGCATTTATTTTTACCTTAATTGCTCAACGACTCCCAAACGATTCGCACAACGATTCGTTTTTCCAAACCCCTCCTTTGCGTGACGCTAATCTGCGGTGATTGGTCCTATTGGTCTCATTTTCATTTCATCTCGCCTGTAATGCCTGATAAAGCAGCGTTTGTGAGCGCAGTGCTGCTTTGTGTACAGCAAACCGCTATTTTACCGCTCCAAATGCAGCACCTGGTGGCAAAGATTGAATTTGCATTCTCATTCAGACCAATGCAAAAAGACCAACAAGTGGGCGGGCAATATGCTAATGTTTCATGTTGAAGTCAACAAGAAACGACTTGGGATTCGTTTTAAAAACGACTCGTTTCAATGATTCAGTGTCGACTCTTTCTGTTGAGAGACAATAACTTTACACACGGTGCAGTGTTACACACTGCATGAAAGGTCATTTTCAAAAATCCATAATAGGGGCACTTTAACGCTAATGTGAGGGTATTTCTAATGTAGCCTCTATGGGAGAGACGGTAAATTTGACATTGTTCTCTCTTCTGACTGCTGTTATCAGTCTCTCTCAATTTTTTCCCTTTGTTTGAAAGTCGTGAAAACACTATCGTGGAGTTTTTCTTTTGTTTTTGAGCAAATGGAAATGCAAAAAATATATTTGTGGTACTCTTCCATTCACTGCTCTTGAACTTGAAGTTATGACGACTTCTGCTGCTGAGAAACCCGGAAATGTGAAAAAGGCCCATTCTGGAAAAATAACAGTTCTTGTAAATTGAGAATACCTTGTCGATTACAGAGAACTCGATCCGCTCTTCTAGTGTGCAGCTGCGTCCGATGGGTGAGATGTTGATCATGCCGTTACGAAACTCAATGAACGTCCCTCTGAGAGAGAGAGATATTTGGTTTAAGTTATTAAATGTGGTTTGCTGAATTGTAATTACATTAGTGTGAGTGTGTGTGTGTGTTTGTTACCGTTTCTTGGGTAGTTTGATGAGCCCCATGTAGCTGAGACAGAAGTTGATGAGGTCCTGCAGTAACTCCTCACCCAGATGATTCTGAATGGCCTGAGAAACAGATTGAAAAAATTTAAGACACTTTAGAGACTTTCAATGAAAGTTCTAAAAAGAATTCTAATTCGGTAACAGCACCATTAAATAACTTCTATGATATCTGAAACATGTAAGACATTTTTATATTTTCAGGATCTACAGACACACAAAATCAATCACCTGTTTAGAGATGAGTTTTCCGTCTTTGTATTGTACGGTACCATTTTCTGCGAAGACGTAGTCAAACTTGTGTATGACTGCAGCGAGAAAGAACAAAACAACAGAATGAGATGCAATCAAAGTGCTCTAAACCCATCTGCTCTGGTGAACATCTTATCATCATCCTGGTGACCTTTACCTGTATTACACAACACACACATACTGATGTAAACAAGCTCATTTACACTCTGAGAGCTTCACTGCTCTTTCTGATTCATTCAATATCATACCTGTTTTTTTGTTGACTGGATAACTTTATAATTCATGGCAACAAATAGCTGTCATTGTTGCAATAACACATCAGATCTGGATTCTGCTCTAGTTCGAGTGAGAATGCAGTTGCATTCGGTTCTAAAGTGTACTGTTCTCAGTCTGATTCAATCATGATTTCTTGGTTTATCTAATGAGATCTGCACAATTCAAATGCCACATGCTACACTGATAATCATCAAACACTGATGACACTAGAAACTGATCTAGATAAACAAGAGAAAAGTCAAACATGGAGTTGAGGCTGAAATTAACAACCACAGTTAAGACAGAATCTCACATTTTTCGTCTATACAGCAATGAAATTAACATTTGCATTTTACATTTATGCATTTTCAGACGCTTTTTCCTCAAAGCAACTTAAATTCCATTTAAGCCATACGTTTGATCAGTTTCCATTGCCATACTGTTTGGGCAACAACTGCTTCTCAGATGTTTCTCATAAGAAAAAGACCGTAGTAATCTCACATGTGTCTCTTCTGTTGTTTTAGAAAAAAATCTGAAGAATGTCTCAAACTGTGCACAGACATTTGCAGTCGAAAAGTCTCAACATTAAATCAAATCCTTTCTCATCATTCATATTAATCTGAGACAAAAGGTGCAGTTTACAGAAACATAACTGAGAACTAAGCTTTCTGAGCTTTAATAAAGAAGCAACCTGTGAGCATTACTTTGGTCAGCCATGGTAGTGATGCCTACTGGTGTTGATTTCATAACCGTTCATTCCAATGGTCACAAATGAATTTCATTAATTGGGTTCTAGACTGAGGGAATTATGGGATATCAGCTGTTGTGTTAATGTGATCCAGTCAAACCAGTTCCTCCACATTCCACATCTGATGCACCACCCAAAACCCATTAATCACATGTTTGACTAATGATTCTAAAGACTCGAGACCGTCTGCTGGCTTCCATGATGAAATGTATGATAGGCCTACATAACATTCTCTAACCTTCACCTCCTTCTCCGAGCTGTTCTGCGATTTTGGAATAATCTGAACCGCCCACCACTTGCAGTTTACAGAAACATAACTGAGAACTAAGCTTTCTGAGCTTTAATAAAGAAGCAACCTGTGAGCATTACTTTGGTCAGCCATGGTAGTGATGCCTACTGGTGTTGATTTCATAACCGTTCATTCCAATGGTCACAAATGAATTTCATTAATTGGGTTCTAGACTGAGGGAATTATGGGATATCAGCTGTTGTGTTAATGTGATCCAGTCAAACCAGTTCCTCCACATTCCACATCTGATGCACCACCCAAAACCCATTAATCACATGTTTGACTAATGATTCTAAAGACACGAGACCGTCTGCTGGCTTCCATGATGAAATGTATGATAGGCCTACATAACATTCTCTAACCTTCACCTCCTTCTCCGAGCTGTTCTGCGATTTTGGAATAATCTGAACCGCCCACCACGCCGATCTTCACCTTCTTTCTCAAGGCCTGGAAAAAATCGTCCAGCTCAGGGTCGATCTTCTGCAGACACACAACCAGTATTACATCACTGAAGGGTTTCTGATGTGACCTGTGGCTTCAGTGCCCCTGAAACTGATTTATGAGTTAATTGAACAGTGACATCCATCTGTTCAACAGGTTTCAGAGTATTTTGTGTCCACTTAACAAGTAGACAAATAGTCTAAATTGGCCACAGAGCAACATTGGCTAGTCTCATAAAGCATCATGTTTGCAGCTCTGTATGTTATACTTTACGTTTATGTTTTCAGCAGACGTTTAAAGTGCACGTTAATGGCAGTGAGCTGGTTATGGCAGTGTTCTTCACCGACGGGTTGCGTAAGGGAACGCTGTGTTCTTCTGTCAGAGCTGCAGACTGTCATAGTACACTCAGGCTATCACACTACATGAAGTCATTCGAATCAGCTCTGATTCATAACAGTATGCTATGGAGGTAAATATGAATAGACGTTTTAATGAACGTAAAAGAACTCCAGGCGTTTAAGTTTAAGAGTATCGTGAAGCTGTGGCAGATGAGCAATAATCCCAGCGAGATTAATCAGCGAAGCATTAAAACAGAACGCTACCCTGACAGCAAAGCCCCGTTCACAACAAGAACGATAATGATGAATTAGCACTTTAAAGAAGACAGAATTTTTGACTGGCTGTCAATGTATCAACGCTGTAATAGTGATACAAATGGCGTTTCCGCTATTCTCTTGAAGTAAGAACGGTTTTAAAACTTTATCGCTATCGCATCTTGGTGTGAATGGGCTTTTAACGTTGTGAAACGGGATTTTTTTTGTGTGTGTCTGTCTTAACACGTTCTGTTTAAGCTGTAAAGGTTTTTACATTCATTTTTTCATTGCTAGAACCTTCATATAAGTTCCAGGAACTGCTTTCTGGAGGAGGAAAAGACACGGACAGCTGAGGACAGGATTGATGATGCAACATCTGAGGACACTGATACACCAACTCATCTGAACGTAAATAAACACTACATGTCCAGAACGGCATGTTAAGCGACATGCAGAGCTGTGAACTGCTCATGCAACAGAACGAACCGCCGGGGCACAACGTTCCTCCAACAAACTGTACAAGAAACGCATAATGTTCACCCTATACTATAAGCGTATTTGGTAATATTTAGGAACTATAACGTTTTAGTAGCCTATGTTTTTTCCCCCCCAAACAATTACCAAACACTCCAAGAGCGTTGTATGGGAACCACTGGCTGATGTATACGTGCAGAACGAGTGTGCCCTTCTGTACAAACACACAAAAACACACTCGTTCACTAATAACACACACTCACGAGACATGCTTCACCTACACACACAGATCAGCGCTGCAAATAGAAACATTGTTACATAAGGAAGATGTCAATCTCATAAGAGCAGAGAGGACGCATCTTTTATAACCCTTTAATTGCTATGCATTAGCTTAATATCTATTACATTTAATGTGATCACATAGCTATCTTGTGGATAAAAAAGAGGTATATAGGCTCGCATATTTACCTCTCTCGGGGGTGTCAGCGTTCCGTCCACATCAAACAAGCACAAAACATTTCGACCTCCGGCTACACGAGACTTTATATCCATTTCTTCTTGTCCAGCAATTGAAGTAAACATAAAATAAAATTAAAAATCAAATAAGACAATTAAATATATACAAATCAGACTCTAAATGACTCTAGATGAGTTAATGCGTAAGAATATAAACACTTTCTTGAAACCGAAAGATAAAGAAGTCAATACTGATGAGTATCATTTACTAGGATTACAGTGTATACTGCAGGCTACATGATCACTGCTGAGTGGGAATGAATCCGCACATGTGGTTCTTTCTGCAGCATTATCCGCCCTGCATGGGGAGGGTTCGGCCTCAGCCAATCAAATGCGCAAATAGATCTGGGGGCGTTACTGCGCTGTGAGATGAGTGCATGGAATTCGGAAGCGTCACGTAACAAGCACGGTCAAACTCAGAGATACCCCTCACCTACTAAATTACACCCGAGCATAACAATAACAACAACAACTGCGGCAGCATTCCGGAAAATAACTATAAGAACATACTTAAAAAGGTATTTTCAATTAACTGTAATGAGGGAATGAACGGGAATGAACTCATGACCTGAGCACGAATTATATTATAAATTAAATTATATAATTCTACACAAGAATATATTGAAATGAACAAAATACAGTGTATAAAAATACAATGTAAAAAAATAAACTGTAAAATAAATGTAGTGCTCTTCCACTCTTCTTTTGAACTTTACAACTGATTGGTGGCAGACAGAAAATCTGCTCAAATTAGGTTGACCTCTTTGTGCTGCCTCTGTTGTTCTATGCACAAGAACATGGTCTATCACAGTAGCTCTGATTTCATCTTGCTCTTCCTCCACCTCTCAGATTGATAGATGCATCTGTGCACTTTGTAGGCCTACTGCCCTGTATTTTGTATATTCACATATTCAGAAACAAGTGTGAACATTTTTGAATCATTGTGTGTACACGGTGACAGCCGTGTTGCAGTTGTGCTTAACTTTTGGTTTCTTGTGTTTAGGGGTTTGCATCACAGTGCAAACTGTGTCTTAGTGCGTGGGTTTAGAGTTTCGCAAAAAGAGAGCATGAGATCTGTAAACTGCCTGAACTTGTTTAAGGTTTTGCAAAAAAAATAAAAAGATTTATTTGACAGATTGGTTTAGGCTGCTGAGAATTTGGTTCAGAGAATGGGGTTTAGTGTCATCGCTGTAAATAACAAGTTAAAGTAAAAGTATGCAGTTGTGCTTAACTTTTGGTTTCTTGTGTTTAGGGGTTTGCATCACAGTGCAAACTGTGTCTTAGTGCGTGGGTTTAGAGTTTCGCAAAAAGAGAGCATGAGATCTGTAAACTGCCTGAACTTGTTTAAGGTTTTGCAAAAAAAAATAAAAATAAAAAGATTTATTTGACAGATTGGTTTAGGCTGCTGAGAATTTGGTTCAGAGAATGGGGTTTAGTGTCTTCGCTGTAAATAAAAAGTCAGGACTTAAAAGTAAGAATACGAAAAGTAGCCTAAAACAAATATTTTGGTTTTGGTTTCGCTTCACTGTACGGCACACGCATATAAGCATTAGAGGTTCACTACACCCTGCTGTCCGTATCTGAGGTGTTTTGTGCTGTACAGCGTTACCTGCTGCCGACATTCAACTACATTTTAATGAACATTATAATATGTGTAATATTTTTTTCTCTTTAGCTCTAAACTGGATTAATATATTGAAGGAAAAGTACGGTGATGTTTATAAAAGAGGAAGGATTGTATTTGAGTGTTTTTGCATTCGCTCGCAAAACTTTTATGATGGGAATTTGAAATATGGGAGGGAAAATAGTTATTTTGCGAGCAAAACGAAACGTTTCTAGGCGGAACGCAAGGTTTAGCGAGTGAAGGCCATGAAATAGCCTATTTCCCCTCATTCTCATATTTTAAATAGGCCTACCTAAATGAAAATTTAGTCTAGCGTCTCAGTCTCACAGAGCTGCCTCAGTGAACATCAAGGCACCTGACGGAACAAACGGGTCCCTGAAGCTGAATTAGTTACGAAATCACTGGAAAGGACTAACGGCCGTTAGGCTCGACTAAACCTCATCGTGCTGTTAATATTAGCTGGATTTGAGTGATCACCGTTAGTCAGACAAACACAGAAGAGGAAGAGAAGTTTAACGTGAGCCCTGCGTTTAAAAAGGAACCCATTTGCTTCCGTCTCTGACTGAATATGATTGTTCGTGTCTGAAAACAATCAGGCCAGATGCATTCTAGACAAATGCAATTGTTTTAGAGTTCACTGTCATTGGTGCATTACGGTTAGTCAGCGTCCAAATCAACTCGTCGATCACTGCTGTATTTTCTTACCATTTTGGGTCTGTCCTGATTTAAAGGTCCCATGACATGCTGCTTTTTGGATGCTTTTATATAGGCCTAAGTGGTCCCTAGTACTGTATCTGAAGTCTCTTTCCCGAATTTCAGCCACTACGAGCCAGTCCCACAATGAGCTTTCCTTAGGATGTGCCATTTCTGTGGGCCATCTGAGCTTTCATTTTCTCGAAGGCGAAGCAGGATACCCAGGGCTCGGTTTACACCTATCGCCATTTCTAGCCATTGGGGGACCATAGGCAGGCTAGGGGAACTCATATTAATGTTAAAAAACCTCATAAAGTGACATTTTCATGCCATGGGACCTTTAACAGATCTCTTATTTATAGGCTAACCCATAAGACACTGAGAAGTTTTCAATGATAATAAAAGCATTTTTATAGCCTATTTCTTTGGCACAAAGCTGTTTGATTTAAGTGGAATGTATCGTGCAAGATGAAAACTACCCGCTAAATAGGCCTAACAACGAAATAATTCGTTATACTTTATCTTCTTCTTAAGTTGGGTGATTTTTCAGCTAGGGGAACTTTTCGGTCCTCTTGTTTTGAAAATAATCAAAATTCAAATAGGCTAAGTTTCTTGTATTTTGTTTCTCTAAAATGTGAGAAATGTCATTAGACTCACATTGGCTGTCAAGGCCATCATCAGATTTTTATTCCATTTGTGATCAATGTTTAACAGATCATTTGAAGGATATGCTTTTAACTTATTAATAACTTATTGTGATCTGGGACCTGATTTCTCACGGTCATCTCACCCAGATTTCTCATCCGTCTGTAAACACTGATTCTGAGAAGAGATTTTACATGAGCAGATTTACAGACCGCAATCTATCAGCTTTTATAGCACACAATCTATTTGCCACACATTCTGCTTTACAGCCCTGAAGGACCTTTGGCCCCTCCAAGGTCCTCCAGAACATTTACGAACCGCTCAGACCTTCTAGCACATTCTGTGAGCAGCAGAAACAGAGATTTATTGGACAAAAACCACCTGTGGATTGTTTGAAACCAGGTGGTTTGACGTTTATGGGACATTTTCAGAGATATTTGGATTTTATTGATTGTAATTTCAGCTGATGGACCTAAATAAAGCTCACTGATACGGTCAGCAGACGTCACCTTAGATCAAATAAAAAGCTGAAACTAGAGGGATGAAGCTTTTTCTCTCAGATCAGGCTGATTTTGTTTGTTCACTGTCGGTTGTTCATTAACACGCAGAGACACACCTGAGCGCGCATTTCCTCTTCAGGTTCCTGTAAAAACACAAATGCAGAAAACTCTCGCTGCAGTCAGTATGATGTCTTTTCAGAGACGTCATGTGGACGGTGTTGTTGGAGGATAGATCTGATCTTTCTGATGTAATTAATCAGAATTTACCGGCTTCAGGAATGACTGTGGCATTAAACTGAGCAACGTTTTTTTGAAGGACCTTGGTTGTGGACGGGATGTTGGGATTGTTCTGGTTCTGGTTCGGTTCTGTGCTCTCTGTCTCTGGGTTTGACGTGTTAAGCTGCAGAAACTCCTCGGTCACGTTAAACGTGGTTCTGCTAGAGGATGAAAATTCGCCCTGGAGTCTGAAGTTTGTGAAGGACGTGGTGGAAATGGCTGTTGAAGAGGAGAATGAAAAAAACCAGGCTGAAAGTGAGTAGATTCAATGATTAGGTACATGCAGGCTTTTAATTCAGTACTAGTAAAGGTGACCCACCTCTCAAACACTGAAGATCAGGTGAGACCATCCAGATTTCAGTGAATGACTCTTGTGTGGATCTCAAGAGTCCATGAAACTGGAAACTGGAATTAAAAGACAAAAACATTGTATTTCTGCAGGGACATTCTGTCCTACAAAATACACAAATCATAGATTAATCTTAAATTAGATTAACTTCTCCAGGCAAAGAGAAAGACAACAAAAGTAACACTATTACAAATAACTAGGCTATTTAACCTTTTATTTGTTAAATAGAATAGAACACTATACAGTTCAATACAATACAATAGAAGACAGTGAGGGTTGTGACTTAAGTCCTCTAGGCAAAATAATAAGAAAGTGGTCTTAAAAACAGTCAAGTGATTCACTTTATCCAAGTTTTAGGATCTGTTAAGGGGTAAGTTGAGCTAATTTGTGTAAAAGTAAACAAACATATTCAATGCAATAGTCAACATCATGTATTCTATAGCTATAATGACCTCTAAGATGCTTCACCTTTTGAAATGTAAAGTTAAACCTGACTGAATACTACAGAAATGGTAAAATTACTTTAAATTGGACAAAATCAGCCTTGATACATGACCTACTATCATGGAACTGATGCTGTCGATTAAATCGCTAATGTTAATAACAATTATGATCATTTAAATATTGCGCATTAGTCAAGTCTAACGTGATCTCTTCTCCCAACCTCAGAAGTAGTTGAGTTAGTGTCCAGTAAATAGCTAAATACAATCTGTTTAAATTCCCTGATAACAAAGGCATGAAGTCATTCAGAATTAGAAGAAAACAAACACCATATGAGGTTGAGCTGCTTTTAAATAAAGTTGAGTAATCAAACATAGTGGTGGTTTTGTTTATGAAGGTCTGGACTTCCAGATCAAGGTGCTGTTCAGCGGCTTTAACACGACGCATTATCGGCGCAGGGGCTGCGGCAGCAGTACGTGCGAGGCCGTGGAGATCCTCAAATCGCTGCATGTGAGTTCTGCTTCATAAAAATCTGCCCAAAGGACATTTTGAAGGACGTTCCGGTTTATTAATGCTGTCTGTCCTCAGGCACGCTGAAACATTATGGTGAAGATTTAATGTGTCCCAGATAGCACACCTAGATAGCAAGATAGCACACCTACGTCTGCAAGATGTCTGATAACGATCTCTTGATCTGGAAAGCATCTGCTGTGTAAAAACATCTGACAGACGTCTGTAAGATGTCAGGTTTACATACATTCTAAATCAAACATCTTTAAGACCTCTAATAGACGTCTATTTGACATCTAAAAGGAAACATCCTATTGCAGATGAGCAAACACTCTAAAAGATACGTCTTCCAGATGTAAATGCAGACATCAAATAGACGCCTCCATGATGTACGTGTGCTATCAGGGGTGGGCAAAGCCCGCAGCTGATTAGCAGTTAAATGTAATGATATTTTCCATTTGTTTTGTCCGTTAGAACATCAGTGAGCTTGGATGCAT